CCTTCCTCGGCAAAGTGGCATAGTCGTCTCGGTCATCCCTCCTCAGTTATAGTTCAGCACGTCCTTAGCAAAAATAATCTTCCTTATGAGTCTAGCGTTGAGTCAATTTGTGATGCTTGCCAGCAAGCTAAGAGTCATCAGTTACCTTATCCTATATCAACAAGTGTTTCCACTGCTCCATTGCAGCTTATTTTTTCAGATGTATGGGGACCAGCTCCCACATCAGTTGGTAGATTCTCTTATTATGTCAGTTTCATCGATGATTATAGCAAGTTCACTTGGATATATTTGCTAAAGAAACAATCTGATGTTTTCCAAGTTTTTACCAACTTCAAAACCTTGTTAAACGCCAGCTAGACTCAAAAATTCTTGCTATGCAAACCGACTGGGGTGGTGAGTATGAGAAACTAAATTCCTTTTTTCAAAAAATTGGAATCTTTCACCATGTTTCTTGCCCCCATGCTCATCAGCAAAACGGGTCGGCTGAACGCAAACACCGCCATGTTGTTGAGGTAGGACTAGCACTCCTAGCCAATGCTTCCATGCCTTTAAAATTTTGGGATGAAGCTTTTCTCACTGCCACATATCTCATAAATATTCGACCAAGCAAAGTCATCAAATTTGAAAGTCCCATCACACGTCTGTATGGAACAAAACCAGATTTCAAATCACTACGAGTTTTTGGTTGTGCATGCTGGCCAAACCTAAGGCCATACAACACACGCAAACTTGCGTTTCGCTCAAAAAGATGTGTGTTTTTGGACTATAGCCCTATGCATAAAGGCGTCAAGTGTTTAGATGTTCCTACAGGCCGAGTTTATATATCTCGTGACGTTGTGTTCGATGAATCAGTTTTCCCCTTTGAATCCCTCCATTCTAATGCCGGCGCCCTTCTCTGTCAAGAAATTCTTCTTCTTCCATCCACACTTCGACCTTTTGATCACGGGGAAAACAATTTCACTAACCAACATGACATCCCTGCTGGAACCAGTTCTTGTCTCCCGTGTGTGCAGGTACCTGAAGAAAACGGAGCTCAAAACAATCAGAATGATCAAAATCTCGTCCAAAACGGAGCTATATTTCATGTAGAAGAAGAAGACGAAGCTGGCGCGGTGTTCGAGGAAGATTTGGCGGCGCCTGCCACCCCTGCGCGTCAATCCTCCTCGGATCTGGCGCGGGCATCTTTTACGAATCACGAGCCGGTCGGCCAGGAGAGCCAGGCGCGGGCGAGCCGCCCCGCAACTGCCACGTCATCACGTGGAGGATCTCCCTCGAGCGGCCCGCGCATGCAGCCAACCGCTGCGAGGCGCGGCATGCACATGCGGCCAACGGGCTCATCTGGTGCGGTCGGCGCAGGATCAACTACGGAAACTGGTGGTGTGGCCGCTGATGGACAGGCCACATCCGCGACCACTAGATCCGGTGCGGCAACACCTGATGCATCTCCAGGATCGTCTGCAACCAGCGATTCTGTGCACCCACGTGTGCAGCAACAACCATCCATATCCAAAGTCACAACTCGGCTACAAAAAGGTATTAACAATCCAAAAATAAGAACTGATGGCACCATACCATATGGCATGTTGTGTATTTCAGGAGAGCCAACAAAACTAGATGATGCACTTGGAGATCAAAAGTGGAAAAAGGCTATGGATGAGGAGTATACAGCCCTAATGAGAAACAAGACATGGCATTTGGTACCAAATCAAAAAGGTAAAAATGTCATTGATTGTAAGTGGGTGTATAGGATCAAGAAAAAGGCAGATGGCTCCATTGACAGGTATAAGGCACGTCTTGTTGCTAAGGGTTTTAAGCAGCGTTATGGTATTGATTATGAGGATACATTTAGTCCTGTGGTAAAGGCAGCAACTATAAGACTTGTGCTAGCTATTGCCGTGTCCAAGGGATGGAGCTTAAGGCAGCTAGATGTACAGAACGCGTTTTTGCATGGTGTTCTGGAAGAGGAGGTCTACATGAGGCAACCACCAGATTATGAAAACAAGCAAAAACCACATTATGTATGCAAGCTTGACAAGGCTCTCTATGGTTTGAAACAAGCACCCAGAACATGGTACTCCAGGTTAAGTATGCAGTTGAAATATCTTGGTTTCTTTGCATCAAAAGCTGATACATCTCTCTTCATATACAATAAGGCAAATACTATCATATTTGTGCTCATTTATGTTGATGATATTATAGTTGCAAGCTCTTCTCAGAATGCTACTGATGCTCTCTTACATGATCTAAGCTCAGAATTTGCTTTAAAGGATCTTGGTGATTTGAGTTTCTTCTTAGGCATTGAAGTTAAGAAGGTTCAGGATGGTATAGTGTTGAAACAGGAAAAATATGCAACTGAACTCTTGGCTCGGATGGGAATGAAGGATTCCAAGCCTTCACCCACACCATTATCCTCATCAGAACAGTTGTCAGCCTATAGGGGAGCCACTTAATGAGAAGGATAGCACTAGATACAGAAGTGCTGTTGGAGCCTTGCAATACTTAACCTTGACACGACCAGATATCTCAGTTTCTTTTAACAAAGTATGTTAATACCTGCATGCGCCTACTTCTGCTCACTGGACAGCTGTCAAAAGAATCATTCGATATATTAAGCATACTGTAGGCTTGGGACTATATTTCAAACGTTCCAATTCTACACTTGTCAGTGCTTTCTCTGATGCAGATTGGACAGGTTGCAGTGATGATAGAAAATCCACATGAGGTTTTGCGGTTTTCTTTGGATCTAATCTTATTTCATGGAGTGCCAGGAAACAAGCAACAGTGTCAAGGTCAAGTACTGAAGTTGAGTACAAGTCATTGGCAAATGCCACTGCAGAAATTATTTGTCTTGAATCTTTGCTTGAGGAATTGGGTGTAAAGCAACGTCGTACTTCATGTCTATGGTGTGATAATTTGGGGGCTACTTATTTAAGTGCAAATCCTGTTTTTCATGCCAGAACTAAGCACATTGAGATAGACTTTCACTTTGTACGAGAAAGAGTTGCAGAGAAGAAGTTGGAGATACGTTTTATTCCTTCCAAAGATCAAGTAGCTGATGGATTCACCAAAGCTCTACCATACAAGCCATTTGAAGCATTCAAGAACAATCTTAATCTAGGATAGGTAGTTCAGATTAAGGGAGGGTGTTAGACTTAGAGATATATCTCTTTGTAATCTCAACTACTTATCTCTTCCTCTCCCTTGTAACCTCATATCTCTTATTCTGCTGAATCCTAGCGATCGGTAGATACTTGTAAACCACGGCAGGGGTTATTCCTGCCCTCGATCAATAAAGCCCCGCGGCTCCTCTACGGAGGAGTAGGAACGCTTCCACCAAACCAATCTTACATAGCAAAGAAAAAATCGGCAATGTTACTCAGGAAATAGAGCAGTCCCGCTCCAAATTAGAAGAGTTGATGAACATGAATGCGGATCGCGTTGAGATATGTGTTGTGACCGATAAATTGAACGAATTACTCTATAAAGAAGAGTTAATGTGGCTGCAAAGGTCACGGATTGACTGGTTAAAGGAGGGGGGCAGAAACACCAAATTCTTCTACTCCAAGGCTGTATGGAGAGCACGTAGAAACAAATTAAAAAATTACAGGATCTTCATGGGAATATTTTCACTAACAAAAATGAGATGGGTGTTGCAGCCACCTCATATTTTGAATCTTTGTTCGTTGCTGACCCAAATGTGGATGTGTCCCACATCATTGATCTCATTTATCCAATTATTAGTGCTGAAGAAAATGATACCTTGTGTGCAGATTTTTCTATAAGGAAATCGAGGATGCTTTGTTTCAGATTGGACCTTTGAAGGCTCGGGGACCGGATGGATTTCCTGCTCATTTCTTTTAGCATAATTGGGCTACTATCAGAGAAGAGATCACTGCAGGGGTTAAGGAATTCTTTCGGACAAGTATTATGCCTATTGGAGTTAACGATACCACCATAGTGTTGATTCAAAAAAAAGACAACCCGGTTAAAGTCACTGATTTTCGTTCTATAAGCCTTTGTAATGTTATTTATAAAGTGGTTTCTATATGCTTGGTGAATAGGCTCAGGCCTATGCTTAATGCAATAATTTCTCGGGAGTAAAGTGCTTTTATTCCGGGGCGAATGATCACACACAATGCCTTGATAGCTTTTGAATGCATCCACCATATCAAACAAGAAAAAGATCCTACAAAAAGTTGTTGTGCATACAAGCTTAGTTTTTCAAAGGCATATAATCGGATAGACTGGAATTACCTTAAGCAAATGATGCAAAAGCTTGACTTTGCTCATCGATGGGTTGATCGGATAATGTCTCATGTAACCACTATGAGATGCTCCTTAAAATTTAATGGAGCCATCTAGAATTCTTTTGCACTGACGAGAGGTCTTCGGTAAGGTGATCCTTTGTCCCCGTATTTATTTCTTTTTGCATTTATTTATTTCTGTTCTTGACGTTTGTATTTATTTATTTTTGTTCTTGACGGTTTGTCTACTCTCATCGATAAAGGAATTACAGATGGAGAGCTCCTGGCATTTCACACCTCCTCCTCTTTGCTGATGATACATTGTTATTTTTGTTTTTCAAGGCTTGTGACTGTGTATCTTAAATATGCAGAGCCGGGTGTTGCTCATTTGCTTTGTATATATACTTTGGGAAAATGTCTTTTCCAAAAGAAGGAAAAATGTATGTCTTCCCTTCCCTATACATTCCCGCACCACGGCAGAACAACAGAAACCGGTGGCCTCACTCTCTCGACACGATCCCACAAAAGAACTCACGAAATAGGTCTATGTTGCATGTTCACATACACATCACAGTACGCAGAACTACACAACCCACAAGCGGCAGTGCAACACCCAACTAAATCTGCTAGCTATTCAGCTCAAGGAACGTACATCACCATTACACAGCACAGTGGAACCACCTTAGCCCACACAAAGAAACTCGACAAGAACATAATATACAGTGGAGCCATCATCGACCAGTGCACGACGACGGCTTACTTCTTCTTTTGCAGGCTTATCGATTGCTTGGCCACAGCGTGCGCCGCCGAGCTCGCGAGGGACAACTTCTTGATGTGTCCCTTTGGGTCGAGCGCTTTCCGAATCTTGAAGACGGCCCACGCGACCCCAAGAGCGTTTCCGGTGGCGTGGAGGTAGTCCTGTGTTATCTCTCCTGCTTGATCACCGTACCTGCAAAAATGACAAGACAATTATCAACGATCCTGTCGACCGGCGGCATCCAACAATTACTACTGCGCAAAAGATCTTGCTTATGACTGGTTGCTGAACCAAGAACATTTGAAATTCTGAATGAAGCATAGATGTAATACAGTGTATGTGCATTACCTGTGCGTTACAACTGAAGTTGTGACAACTGATGATGTTTTCATCACGTTCTTGCCAGATACCTCAACAGCATCCCATACTTTACCTGAACCATCGAGTAAGTAAAGAGTCAACAAATAATAATATGTGATGCAGTAACGGTTTGCACATATCAAATCTAAAGAGGTGGCATGCTATAAAATCTTATTGCAGCCAACATCAGGGCCCTTGCATCCAATATAGTATTCGTGCAAGCCAGCCGGCAAACCACTGTTTTGGGCTCTTGAACTTATACAAGCAGAATTCTGACCACATATTAGCAGCTCTTATAACTGGTTTAGACTTCAGTTAAGGCATCTTAACCAAGTGTACTCTACAATAGTACACTAAATACCTGGGATTTGCTTGGGAGGCCCAATGTAGAGCATAATAAAATCCAAATCATAATATGATTTCATCCTATCTGGTACTTTGGTGATGTGACCATTAATCCGATGCATATTTAGATCAACAAATTCAATTTTTATTCGGAACAGAATCACGGACCACGTAGACTTCTAACTTAAAAGTTCAGAAACAACAGAATACCTAGCATTCTACTAGCTGCCTTTATATTCAACCATTTCATAAGAATACAGATAAAAGCGGGTAAAATTCATATTTTGCCAAGCAAATGTAACATGCACAGCTAGTGGCAAACGCTTACCAAATCCGTCCAGCGAAGCAAGAATAACTTCGCCAGGCATTAACTTGAAGAACTTCTGTGCAGGTTTGGAGTTGACTACAGTGCTGGTAACAAATCCCGAGACCTTGAGAACACCTGAGAGAATTGAGTTTGCTACCTTGTTCGACATTTTAGTGACCCTTCTGGCCCTGCAGAAGACAAAAGAGAAATGCATAAGCCAACTGCATCGAATCGACTGGAGGGCCGCATAAAATTGATTACCTTAAATATAGAGCACATCTAGATATACCCTATTTATTGCACATCTAAGTGCCTCAATCAAACAGAAAGACAATACTCGCACGAATGTCCGCGTAAAATCAATGACATAGGACTTGGATGTACAATACGTAGGGCACATCTAAATGTGGTTTGGCAAAACTGTAAATATTTCTATAAACATGATAACAATAGTCAATAAACAACCTAAAGGGAAATAAAACTATCTCAGAATGAGATTAGGATAGCGGCCCATACTGTCAAAAGTCAAAACAAAATAACTTCTACCTATACTGCTATGCATATTTCCATTAAGATATAGTGCTAGTATACTGAGTAGCTTGCCACTTCAGCCCAGGCATGCTTTGGTAAGGATCCGGATCAAGTTGAAAACATCTCACTCTAAGCCTCTTTAATGATATCTTTAAATTTAGCATCATAATGCACACATGTAGGCATGGCAAAAATTCATCATAATGCACACATGTCGGCATGGCAAAAATATCACTGGTCGTTATCAAGATATGCCAGGTGTCTTCAAGCATAGGAAAAATTAATGGACACTGGTGGCATTGGCTAAGTTCATGGTCAATTTTTCATAATAAAGATGTGTCGTCGTCTTAATGGGGGTTACATCTGGGTGAGACATTTTGTTTGCACAACCAAAAAAGGGTTTGTCTTGTCCATGTCTTTTTTTAGACAACGGAAGAGAACATGCAGAAGACCCTACTGCATAACTGACAAACAAAAGACCCTGCTCTGTTGAATAGAGCTACTGTAATATAACTTCATAATCTTACTATTAAAACATTGTAACCGCATAATCAATAGGAGTATTTTCTGTTCATCAAGTGCAATGCATTGAAGGACTAGTAAGAACCCTGACTATTCTGGACATGACAGGTAACGAAGCTATAACTGATTATCCAAATCCTGATCTTAGACGATGCAAGTAATGGCAAAAGGTGAATCATCTCATTCATTAAATTTTAGATCATCCAATGCTGCAGCTTAACAGGAGCATTAGAAATGTAAATTTAGTGTATCATTTAGTTCATCAAATGCCAGATTAAGAAAGTGCATCTAAGCTACTCCAGTGTGAGCTGCTCTGCAACATAGAGATAAACGGTAGGCCAATAAAGAAGTAGAGTAAGTTTCTTCATCCATACCTCTTCATCCTCTTGAGGGAGCTCGGCTTCACCTGCGTAGGCTTGCCGTTGGCCCCCGCACCCTTCTTCAACACCGCCTCCCCGCATTTGAGGCCCGAGGCTGTGATGTCGCCGCACCAGATGATGCCCCTTACCAGCTGCCCCGAGCCCTTGGCGATAAGCCTCGCCACCGACGAGCTGTAGTCGTCCACGTTCGGCGCGATTGTCGTCCAGAACGCCGCGGACTGCTCCTCAATCTCCTCCTTCTTGTCCCCGGCAGCCTCCTCCGGCGTGATCTCCGACACCGCCCTAGTGTCCATTACCTCCGACTTGCCGCCCGCCTCCTCGTCGACCTGCTTGACGGAGAAGGTTGTGTACTCCTTCAGGACCCTGTCCAGCTCCTCCAGCACCTGCTCCTGCCCTTTCCCGGCGACCGTGAGCCCGTAGCTCAGCGCCGCCTCCCGGTCCGCGTCCGTCTCCGCCACGTCGTCCTCCTTGTCGTCAGGGTGGTCGCTGTGCGGACGTGGAGCGAGAAGAAGTAGTGGCCGGCGTCGAGCTTGACGACAGCGACGTCGCTGGCGAGCGGCCACTGCACGGGCTCCTGCGCGTCGGTGGAGCGGCCGCTGCTGAGGAAGCTGAAAAACCCGCGCCGCTGGTTGGACTTGTCCGGGGTGAGGCGCGCGAGGACGGCGACGCAGTGGTCTCCCTGGCGGAGGCGCACGACGGAGAGCGTGCCGGCGCCGAGGTCGAGGCTGCGGTCGGGGTCGACGAGGTGGAGCTGCGCGCCCGGCACGTCGACGAGGGCCTCCTCCACCGTGGGCGGGGCTGGGGCGGCGTCCTCGGCCGCGTCGGCCGGGAAGAGGTTCTCGGCCATCTCGTGGGGGTCCATGGTGGGGTAGAGCGATTCGCCTGCGCCGGTGGCGGTGCTGGCGGCGGGGTTGTACTGGAAGGCGGTGTTGTGGTCGGGGTGGGACTGGGGTACCTCCGGGTACATGCTCTGCTGCTTGGAGGCGGAGGCCATGGCGGGTTCGCTGGTGGGCTGCTGCGTCGTGTCACACACAGTTCGCCGGATCGAGAGAGAGGGGAACGAGCCAACGAGGTGGGGAGGATGAAACGGGCGCAGGGGATTTTAATACGCGAGGGGTGGAACCGGCGAGGGCGACGGTTCATTCGCGGTGGCGCCCAGGTGCGCGGGGATTTGCTGCGCCCGTGACGGCGACGTGGAGCTGGTCGGCAGCGTGTGAGAGACGGGACGGCCGTGCGTCCGCGGCGGCACACCGGTGGGCACAGAGATGGCGGTGGCAAAGGGGGATCCGGGTTCCCCGATAGACGAGAAGACTTTGGAAGAAAGCAACCGGAAGGCAAGGGAGGAGGACGCGTAGACACCGTGGGGATGGCCGGGGGAACAGCTCACCGGCCACGGAGGTGCCAGCAGCAAAAGAATACTTATGGCTTTGGGAAGGCGAACACGGACTGGCGCGCTCCAGAGTTTCACGTGTGTGCAGCTTGTCGGCACCTGGCGGTCCTGCCGTTGCACACTTCGGAGCGACGATCGACGGTAGTACTACTACTACGTCGGTTTTCCGTTCACCGCGTCGCCGACAGCAGACGGTAGTCAACATGTTTTCTGTTTTCCGCTGCCGTGCACGGGCGGGTCGGCGGAGCAGCGCGGCGGACCGTGGGCATCAAATCTATCGTCGGGCTTCCACATTTGTCTGCCCATTTTCTTGATCTTTACGGATGTCTTTGGTTGTCCGCGTCGTTTTTCACACTTTGCATATTGGTCCCAGCTGACTGCACATTTGTCTGACGGTGAAGAAATAGGCAAAAAAAAAACTATCATTTGGGTTTGTGTCTGCATATAGACTGACTGTATTAGAGCAACTCCAACGCGCGGACCAAAAAGACATGGTATTTGTCCTTTTTTGTCTGTTTGCGTCGGCCAGGCGAACGGCCGCGTCCGTTTTTTCATATGGGTCGGCTTGAGCCCAACAGGAAGCCGCGTGGGAAGTGCAGGGCGGTCTGCGAGGGGGACGAGAACACCGGTTTCTTCCACGCGAGCGCCTCCCATCGCCGCCGAGCCAACATGATCCGTGCCCAGGACGTGGGCGGGGAAACGGTGCTCGACCACGCGGGGAAGGCGGCGGCGCTGCTTTCCTTCTACTCCGAGCTGCTGGGCAGGGCGCGTCCCTCCGTCTGGTGGTTTGATCTGGCCGGCTTGTACCGCGACGCCGCGCAGGTCGACGCAACTGCCCTGGTTGCTCCGTTCTTGCCCGACGAGATCAAAGACGCGACGACCTCAGTCCCGCGTTCTACCAGGCTGCCTGGGATACCGTCTCCGGGGACCTGCAGCGCCTCTTCGACGCGGTCCACGCCGGGACCGCGAACCTCGACGCCATTAACCGGGCGTACATCGCACTCCTGCCCAAGGGGGTGGGTGTGCCCACGCCTGGCGCCTTCCGGCCCGTCTCCCTTCAAAACGGGGATGTCAAGATCCTGTGCCGCGGCCTCACCTCGAGGTTGCGGCAGCAGATCGGGGGCATCATCGACGTCGACCGGTCCGGGTTCTTGGCGGGGAGAAGCATCTCCAAAAATTTCGTGTACGCCGCCGAGATGATCCAGTGTTGCCACAGGCGTAGCGCCCCCGCCCTCGTCTTCAAGCTCGTCTTTGCCAAGGCGTTCGACTCGGTCGACTGGGGGCGCTCCGGCAAATTCTCGCGGTGCGCTAGTGGAGGCCCCCCCTGGTGCTTCAGTACGCCGACGACACGCTGGTCATCCTCAGGGCGGAGCGCGGTGCGGCTGCCCGCCTTCGCCGCATCCTTGACGACTTCGCGGCGGCGACGGGGCTGGACATAAACTTCTCCAAGAGCACACTTGTCCCCATGCACATGTCTGCCGAGGTGTTGGGGGAGACCGTTGGCGCTCTTGGTTGCGCCGTCCAGGGGTTCCCACTGGCCTATCTCGGACTCCCGTTATCGTGGGAAAAGCTCACCTTCGCCGACTTCCTCCCCATGCTTGCGAAGGTGGACAAGTACCTATCGGGCTGGCGGGCTCGGCTCCTCTCCCCTGCCGAGCGGCTGGTCCTGCTCAGCGCGGTGCTGGACTGTAGGACCTTGAAGTATGTCTAGAGGGGAGTGATTAGACAACTTGACCAATTAAAAACTTAACCTTTTTCCAATTTTAGAGTTTGGCAGATTTTAGCTACTTTAGGACAAGTCAAGCAATCATCACACTATTCAAGCAAGCATGCAAAGAGTATATAGGCAGCGAAAATTAAAGCATGCAACTTGCAAGAAAGTAAAGGGAAGGGTTTGGAGGATTCAAACGCAATTGGAGACACAGATGTTTTTGGCGTGGTTCCGATAGGTGGTGCTATCGTACATCCACGTTGATGGAGAATTCAACCCACGAAGGGTAACAGCTGCGCGAGTCCACGGAGGGCTCCACCCACAAAGGGTCCACGAAGTAGCAACCTTGTCTATCCCACCATGGTCGTCGCCCATGAAGGACTTGCCTCACTAGCGGTAGATCTTCACGAAGTAGGCGATCTCCTTGCCCTTACAAACTCCTTGGTTCAACTCCACAGTCTTGTCGAAGGCTCCCAAGTGACACCTAGCCAATCTAGGAGACACCACTCTCCAAGAAGTAACAAATGGTGCGTTGATGATGAACTCCTTGCTCTTGTGCTTCAAATGATAGTCTCCCCAACACTCAATTCTCTCTCATAGGTTTTGGATCTGGTGGAAAGAAGATTTGAGTGGAAAGCAACTTGGGGAAGGCTAGAGATCAAGATTCATATGGTAGGAATGGAATATCTTGGCCTCAACACATGAGTAGGTGGTTCTCTCTCAGAAATGGTAAGTTGGAAGTGTAGGTTCGTTCTGATGGCTCCCTCCACGAATGAAGAGGAGGTGGAGGGGTATATATAGCCTCCACACAAAATCTAACCGTTACACACAATTTACCAAACTCGGTGGGACCGATTCAACAGACTCGGTCGGACCGATTTAGTAAACTTAGTGACCATTAGTGATTTTCGGTGGGACTGACATGCATCTCGGTGATACCGATTCGGTTAGGGTTAGGGCATAACGTAATCTCGGTGAGACCGATTACACAAACTCGGTGAGACCGATTTGGTAATAAGCTTTCCAGAGAGTTGGTTAGGTAAACTCGGTGGGACCGATTTGCTCTTTTTAGTGAGACCAAAATGTTACAAAAGGGAAACAGAGAGTTTACATTGCAATCTCGGTGGGACCGATCGCTCACTTCGGTTAGACCGAAACATTACGAAGGGAAACAGAGATATTACAATCCCATCTCGGTG